CCTTAGGTATTTTCATGAATAAGCAGTTGTCCACCCTATAGAGACAGAGAATATCTCAACTTCTGCTTTACCCAGATGAATGGCGCTATGGATCCTTAGGTACAAGACTTGTCCAGTGATAAGAAAGCATGATTCAGACAGTGGAGTAATGTAGCCACCAACCGTGATGGTAAACTAATTGGTTTTTTAAATTATTTTAATTTTACCTATTCTCATGGGGAATGTATCTCATTGTGGTTTTAATTTGTGTTTAGGAATAATGTAAATCTTTAACAACCAGGCTTATTGAGGTATAACTTACATACAATAAAATTCACCAATTTTAAGTGTGTAGTTGGTCCCTTATGCTACTTTGTAGTCAATTACATCCCTCAAACTCTGCTCCTAGAAACCACTACTCTGCTTTCTGTCACTATTAATTTGCCTTTTCTAGAATTTTATAAAAGTGGAATCATGTAATACATAGTATTTTGTGTCTGGATTCTTTCACTTAGCATGATTTTTTTTTCCCTGCCACGTGGCATGTGGGATCTTTGTTCCCCGACCAGGGATCGAACCTGTGCCCCCTGCCGTGGAAGTGTGGAGTCCTAACCACTGGACCGCCAGGGAAGTCCCATAGCATGATATTTCTGAGATTCATCCATGTTGTTGTGTATACCAGTAGTTCATTCCTTTTTATTGCTGATTATATCATATTCCATTGTTTGGGTATACCACAAGTTAATTGGTTGTTTCCAGTTTGGGGCTCTTGTGAATGAGCTGACATAAACATTTGTGTGTAAGTATTTGAACGTATGATTTTATTTTTCTTTGGTACACATCTAGAAGTGGGAGTGCTAAATCATATGTAAAGTGTATTTGACTTTATTTTTTAACATGCCAAAATGACCTCTGCTTACAGGAAGATGAAATAGACAGACTTTTCCTTATTCCTCCTACTAAGTACAAATAAAAACCCTGGACACCATGCATAACACAAACATGAGAAGACTCTGAAAGGCAGAAAGGAGAACCCAGACTAGCTAGGGACCTCAGTACCCAAGGAATGACAGAGGTGAGTTTCCTAAGTTTTCTTTTTCCTTATATATCCCAAACTCAGAGCTGACAAAGCCAACAACCTGGAAATGCTGACTGACATAGACAGAAAAAGCCCCAACAAAAGCCTGCTTTCTCTAGCCAAAGAACTAGGAAAGGGGCATCCTGGCAAGACAGAAAAGTGTACTCCAGCCAAACGTCGTAGAATAAAAACTGTGGCCTCCCTTACTATCACTCATGCCAGCAAATACTGAGAAAAGAAGGAAGTGGTGCAACAATTTCTCAAGTGCTGAAAGAAAAGAATCATCAACCCAGAATCCTATACCCAGCAAATATGTCCTTCTGGAATGAAGGGGGGATCGAGACATTCTCAGATGAAGAAAAACTACAACTTTGTTGTCAGCAGATCCACACTAAGTGAATAGCTAAAGGAAGTTGTCTAAACAAACAAACAAACAAATAGAAAATGATGAAAGAGGGAATCTTGGAGCATCAGGAAGGAAGCAAAAACATGGTAGCAGAATACGGGTAAATAAAATAGGTCTTCCTTCTCTTAAGTTTTCGAAATTACATTTGATGGTTGAAGCAAAAATTATAACACTGATGTGGTTCTAACTGCATGTAGAAGAAATATTTAAGACTATTATAAACAGAGGAGAGTGAAGGAATGGAAAGGGAGTTAAGGTTTCTACACTTAAACTTGTAAAATGGTGCCACCAGGTGATTGTTGCTCTAGAGCAATCTTAAAGAGCGATACAGGTACTTCCCTGGTGGCGCAGTGGTTAAGAATCCGCCTGCCAGTGCAGGGGACATGGGTTTGATCCCTGGTCTGGGAAGATTCCACATGCCACGAAGCAACTAAGCCCGTGTACCACAACTACTGGGCCCGAGTTCCACAACTACTGAGCCCGCGTGCCTAGAGCCTGTGAGCCACAACTACTGAAGCCCACATGCCTAGAGCACGTGCTCTGCAACAGGAGAAGCCACCACAGTGAGGAGCCTGTGCACCACAACGAAGAGTAGCCCCCGCTCGCCACAACTAGAGAAAGCCCGCGCGCAGCAACAAAGACCCAACACAGCCAAAAATAAATAAATAAAATAAATAAATTTATTTTTAAAAAAGCTATACAAAGAGAAATACTCAAAAACACTGTAATTAAATCAGAATATAATTCTTTAAAAAATGTTCAGTTAACCTACAGGAAAGCATAAAAAAAAAAAAAAGAAACAAACAAAAAACTGAGACTAAGGAATTCCCTGGTGGTCCAGTGGTTAAGACTCCATGCTTCCACTGCAGGGTGCCTGGGTTCGATCCTGGTCGGGGAACTAAAGCCATGTGGTGTGGGGGGAAAAAAAATAAAGAGAATAAAACAAAACCAAAAATAAAATGGCAGACTTAAGCCCTAACTTGTAAATAATTACATTAATGGTAAATGGCCTAAATATATCATTTAAAAGACAGAGCTTAGTAGAGTGGGTTTTAAAAAATGACCTTACTATATGCTTTCTACAGAAACCCACTTAAAATATAATGATATAGGCAGGCTGAAAGTAAAAGGATAGCGAAAGTTATATCATGCAAACGTTAATCAAGAGCAAGCCAACATGGCTATATAGGTATCTAAGAAAGTAGACTTCAGAACAAAGAAAACTATCAGAGACAGAGAGGGACATTATATAACGATGAAAAGAGTCAACCAATCAAGGAATAGCAATCCTAAATGTCTAAACACCAAAGAGAGCTGCCAAAATATGTGAAGAAAAAATTGATAGACATGAAAATAGAAAGAGATAAATCCACAATTATAATCGGAGGGGACTTCCCTGGTGGTCCAGCGGGTAAGACTCTGCGCTCCCATTGCATGGGGCCTGGGTTCAATCCCTGGTCAGGGAACTAGATCCCACATACCGCAACTAAAATAAAGATCCCACGTGCCACAACTAAAGATCCCATGTGCCACAACTAAGACCTGGTGGAGCCAAAATAAATAAATATTAAAAAAAAATTGTAATTGGAGAATTCAACACCCATCTCTTAACAACAGGTAGAACAACTACCAGAAAATCAGCAAGGATATAAAAGAACTCAAAAGAGTCATCAACCAGCAGATCTAATCAACATTTATAGGACACTCCACCTAACAAAAATAGTATCTTGCAAGATGTTGCTACTGAGGGAAACTGGGAAAAGGGAACAAAGTATCTCTTTGTATTATTTGTTACAATGGCATATGAATCTAAAATTTTCTCAAAAATTAAAAAGTTTAATTAAAAAAAGGAATATCTGGGCTTCCCTGGTGGCGCAGTGGTTGAGAGTCTGCCTGCTGATGCAGGGGACACGGGTTCGTGCCCTGGTCCAGGAAGATCCCACATGCCGCGGAGCGGCTGGGCCCGTGAGCCATGGCCGCTGACCCTGCGCGTCCGGAGCCTGTGCTCCGCAACGGGAGAGGCCATAGCAGTGAGAGGCCCGCGTACCGCAAAAAGAAAAAAAAAACAAAAAAAACCCACAGGGATATTTGAACATGGATGTGGTATTAAGTGACACAAAAGAATTGTTCATTGTTTTTAGTGTGACAATGGCATTGTAGTTATGTAAGAAACTGCCTGTTATAACACACACACACTGAAATATGTTGGCATAAATAGTATCTCCAGCACAACATTGAATAAAAGGGGTAAGAGCAGATATCATCGACTGGTTACCAATCTTAGGGGGAAAGTTTTTTCACTATTAAATATAATGTCAGCTATATGTTTTTTGTATATGCCCTTTATCAGTTTGAGGAAATTTCCTTTTCTTCTTAGTTTTTTTCTTTTTTTTCCCCCTCCTTCTTCATGAATAGGTATTGAATTTTGTTAAATGCTTTTTTTGCATCAGTTGCGATCATGATATGGGTTTTATTTTTTGGTCAGTATAGTAAACTATATTGATTGATTTTCAAATATAAAGCCCACTGTATTCCTGGGATGAAATTCACTGAGAAGTGATGTATTATCCTTTTTATATATCACTGTATTCGCTTGGTCAAAGGTTTTTATATGTAGGTTCATGAAGATCAACGGGGTGTAGTTTTTGCTGAGTCATACAGTAATTGTATATTTAACTTTATAAAAACTCAGTTATCTGTTTAAAAGTTATCTTTATTATCTGTCAGATAATTGTTTCAGGTGGAAAGTATTCTTTGAGTTTCCATTTTGAATGTGTTTGGACTAAACAAACAATAAACTACTGATGTCTGCAGTAAAAAAATAATAATAATAATACTTTCCACCTGAAACTCACTTCTCTGAGAAAAAGTCTTTTATATTCATCCTCGCGTTTACCATTTCCAGCACTCTTCACTTTTTGTGTGTGTAAATCCAACTTTTCTTCCGTCTAAAGAATTTTTTAAAATATCTTCTATAGTGAAAGCTGGCTACTATGAATTCTCCCCAACCTTTGTCGGAACGAAGTCCTTGCTTTCCTTTTTGAAAGGTGTTTTCGCTTGGGTATAGGATTCGAGGCTGACAGTTCTTTTCTTTCAATACTTCAGTACTGACGCGGGCTGGAGCCTTTGGCAAGTCCCGACGAGAGAACCACAGATCCGACCTCTGGGGCCTGCAAGGTGGCGGGACACCCCTGAGGGCACCACCCCTGGGCCAAGACATCATTTTAGGACCTTTAGCCCTTAGGAAAGCCCCCTCTGGAAGAACACGTGGACCCCAGGACAGCTCAGGAGCCAAGCCGAGGGAGGTGGGGAGCCGCGGGCGTGGGGGGCGGGGCGCCGCGCAGCCTTTCCCCGTACTTCCTTTGCCCCGCCCCTCCGCGCGCTCCGCCCCCAACGCCGGTGGGCGGGACCGGACCCCCTCCTTAAAGCGGTGGCCCACCGCGCGCGGCGGCTAGTGCTACGCTCGGCTGCGCTCCAGCGGGCTGGCGCAGGCCCCCCGCCGCCGCAGTGTCCCGGCTGCTGTCGCCCCCGCAGGCAGCCTCTGGCCCCCCGGGCCGCCCAGGCACCGTGCTGGGCGCCATGGAGATGGGGCGGCCGTGCCCCTCTTCCGGGAGCGCGGCCACACCGATATAGACACGGCCCTAGCGTACGTCCGAGAGCATCCTGGGCGGCCTGGGGCTCCGGCTGGGCGGTGGCGACTGCAGAGGTAATTCCTGGCACCCAGACTCCGTCCCCCTTACCTCCCCCGAGCCATGCACCGGCCGAGGTCAGGACCGACAGCTTCGCCCTCCTGCCGGGGCGCCGACCTCCACTGGCCACCCCGCAGCTCTGTGAACACCCCGCTCCTCAGGCCCCGTGCACATCTAGCCCCGGACAGCCGGACAGTGCTTTGTCTTGACTCTTTTCCTCTCCTTTTCCCTCCCCTCAGCAACGTCCCAACCCTGGTCTAGCCTGGAACGACTTGGCTAGCCCCTCTCGGGGGGACTGAAAACGGAGTCTGGCGCTGTGCAGCCCCTGCCTCCTTCCCCTTCCCCGCAGGTGCCCGGTGCGGTCCTGATCTGCAGGAATCCTGCCCTTATGACCCTGGCACTTCCTGGCATAGTCCCAGATCAGGCTTCGGAACCGGCGGGGATCTGCTTCCTCGTTGCTCTGGGCTGTAGACTGCTCCGTGGAGCTCGGGGTGCGCCGTTCAGTTGGCAGTGCCTCCCGCTTCACCAGGGTGGCCGCGCCTGGGAACCGCAGGAGCTATAGGCAGTAGCTGTGATGGGAGAGTGGGGGTAGTATGGTGTCTAACTGCCCTCTCTGTGCCAGCCTCCGTCCAAGGCCATAGAAGGGAAATTGACACTAACCCACTCCAGGGAACTCAGAGTCTAGAGATGGGAGGGGACACTGAAGAACACTAGGAAAACGGAACGTCAGACCTTGAAGAACTGCTAGTTTTCCAGGGGGAGTAAGAGGAGAAGGGGCATTCCCGGCTGCGCGGGTGGGCAGTGAGTGTGCAAAGGCAATGAGATTTGGCAGTGCTGAGGGTTTTGGAACAGGCAGACCTAGCTAAGTGGAGGGTTTGTGTATGGGGGTAGGGGGACATCTGTCATCAGTCTGATGCCATCTGAAATGTTTATAACGTGCCTCACAGGGACATAGTGAGGGCTCAGCAATGTTAGCTGTTACTGTTAGTAGTAGTAGTAGTAGTAGTAGTATCATTAGCACCATGTACCATCTTTTACTTTGAGGTCCTCAGAGTGAAATGATTCACAGCACAGATCTGAAACAAAACAAGAATATGCATGCATCTCATATGCTATCTAGATCACCTGACTGCCTCTCTGTGACAACTCTGGTCTTCTTTTTTTTTTTTTAATTTAAATTTTTATTGAAGTCTAGTTGATTTACAATGTTGTGTTAGTTTCAGGTGTACAGCAAAGTGATTTAGTTATACATATATATGTATAACTAAATATGTATATACATATTCTTTTTCAGATTCCTTTCCATTATAGGCTATTACAAGATATTGAGTATAGTTCCCTGTGCTATAGGGTAGGTCCTTGCTGGTTATCTATTTTATATATATTAGTGTGTATATGTTAATATGAAACTCCTAATTTATCCCAACCCCTTACCCCTTTGGTAACCATAAGTTTGTTTTCGGTCTGTGAGTCTATTTCTGTTTTTTGTTGTTGTTGTTGTTGTTTGCGGTACGCGGGCCTCTCACTGTTGTGGCCTCTTCCGTTGCGGAGCACAGGCTCCGGACGCGCAGGCTCAGCAGCCATGGCTCACGGGCCCAGCCGCTCCGCGGCATGTGGGATCTTCCCGGACCGGGGCACGAACCCGTGTCCCCTGCATCGGCAGGTGGATTCTCAACCACTGCGCCACCAGGGAAGCCCCGGGCTTTCTTTAGTTGCGGCGAGCGGGGGCTACTCTTCGTCGCGGTGCGCGGGCTTCTCATTGCAGTGGCTTCTCTTGTTGCAGAGCTCGGGCTCTAGGTGCGCAGGCTTCAGTAGTTGTGGCACGTGGGCTCAGCAGCTGTGGCTCACGGGCTCTAGAGCACAGGCTCAGTAGTTGTGGCACACGGGCTTAGTTGCTCCACAGCATGTGGGATCTTCCCAGACCAGGGCTTGAACCCGTGTCCCCTGCATTGGCAGGTGGCTTCTTAACCACTGCGCCACCAGGGAAGCCCCCACCTGGGATTCTTAATGGGCGAGGGGAGAAAAGTATTTGATTAACTCACTCCTGACTCACACAGGCGGCACAACACCAGCCTTTTCTCAATGGGTTATTTCTCTGATGGAAATATCTTGCCTTTCCTTCCCTGGGGCCCCAGTTGAAGCCTCTTGCTCTCTTTCCTGAATTCCTGCCGCAGCCTCGCCATTTGCCCTGTTTCCAGACCTGTCCCTGAGGTTTTTGTGTGTGCTTCATTCAGAGTCATCTTTCAAAACTGCAAAGCTGACAACTTAGCTCGCTGGCTGAAAAGTGTTCAGAGTCTCCCTGTGGACCCCTGAAGTCAGATTCTAAGGGGTGCACTCAGGGCCCTTTGTATCCATCTGGTCTGTGGCCCCTTCTCTTGCTTTGTGTGCCCCGTGGACCTGGTGTTCTAGATCCATGGGGTCGCAGGCATGGCTCCTCACACGCCACGTTCTTGCCTCTGGGCGGCCTCTGACTGGCCCTGGAGATTCAGATTCTAAGAAAGCCTTCCCTGAACTCCCAGGGCTCCTCTCCCACCTTGTGCTTATCCCGGCCTCACTTACTCTGTAGTGGCCCCTTAGACTGTGCGTCCTTGATGGCAGGGATCCACTGCTGGCCTTCCTCATCCAGCCCTTAGCGCCAGGTGTGGCACACCCAGTTGTCTGGTAAATAGTCATCGTAATAACATTAGCAGCTCATAATGAGCAAATCTATCAAAGTTCTGATCAATCCTTGGGGCCTCCCGACAAGATATCACTCTCAATTTACAGTTGAGGGGATTGAGGCTCAGAGAGTTTAAATAACTTGGTTAGGGTCACAGAGCTCGAATTGGCAGAGCTGGGGTGTGAACCCAGGTCTGTCTCTTAACCATTACACTAGATTCTCTCCAGCGTTTGGTAAACTGACTTGGACTTCCATTTCTCTCCTCCCAAAGTGAAAATCACCACCAAGGCCAATCCAGTGGGTGAAAAGTCTCTGAAGCCTGACAGCCTCTGGTCCCAGCTGGAGACGTCACTGAAGTGGATGCAGTGCCCCCGAGTGGACCTCTTTTACCTGTACCTGCCGGACCACGGCACCCCCGTGGAAGAGACACTGCGTGCCTGCCACCAGCTGCACCAGGAGGTGAGGGCGGCCCCCCAGCTCCTCTGCTTGGCCTGTCGTTGCCCAGGAGAGTGGAGGCTCCAGGGCTGTCCCAGGGCAGAGCTGGGGACAGACCCCACTCCCCAGGGTCCCCAGCCAGTCTCTCCTTCCTGGTGTTCCGGGCTGCAGTGGGTTCTGACCTTGGCCTCTCCCCCGCAGGGCAAGTCTGTGGAGCTTGGCCTCTCCAACTATGCCGCCTGGGAAGTGGCCGAGATCTGTACCCTGTGCAAGAGCAACAACTGGATCCTGCCCACCGTGTACCAGGTGAGGCCAGGGCTGCAGAGGCCTCTGTCTCCTGGGTGCCTGCTGATCCCGGGTCCTCGTGGCTCCCCCCTCCCTGTGCCCTCTCCATACCAGCCATTCCCCTGCTCTACAGGATGATGGCTCCCAGGTACCCTCAGCCTGGCAAACAGGCGCCTGCTCTCTCCGGTTCTGGCTCCCCTTCCTGCCTGCTTCTCGCTCTGCAGTCAGCCTGGAACACTCCTCCCTGCTGTCCCTGGAAGGAGTGCCCAGGTCTCACTTAGATGCCTCTTCCTCTGGAAGCCTTTCCTGACAGCCCAGAGGAGCCTGAGATCTCAGGTCCTCCTTTTCTCCTCCTCATTCATTCAGCAAATGTTTGTGCACCTACTTGCTGCCAGGCACTGGTCACAGAACTTACTAGTGCATTACAATCGTCTCTTTTGTTGAATATGTTTGTTAACACTCTACCTCACTATTAAATCTCTGAGCACAGCAGCTTTGTCCTTTGGCTTGTGGATGGAAATCCAGTATCCAGGCCATAGGTGGTGCTCAGAAATGTTGGCTGAAGGGATGAATTTTCCTTGGGCGTGAGCCCTCTCCACCAGCACCATTAAGTATCTGCCTGATTGTTAAGGTCTGAACTGAGGTTCTCCACGGGAAAATTTGGGGTCCCGTGCACCCTCTCCAGCTGGCCCTTCTGCCTGCAGGGCATGTACAACGCCACCACCCAGCAAGTGGAGACAGAGCTCTTCCCCTGCCTCAGGACTGAGGTTCTACGCCTAAAACCCTTTGGCTGGTATGGGGCGTGGGCTGCTGTGGGGACGGGCTCACCCCGGGTGGAAGGGTCTTCCTGGCCGTGTTTCTGCCTGTTCCTGACCCTGGAGATGCCTGGTCCCAGACCTGGGAAGCAGGGAGGGGTTTGACAGGAGGCTGGGCTGGGTCCTCCATCCCTCCTGGGTCCCCCACCATCACCCCCACTTCCAGTCCAGAGCAGCCTCTGGGAGCAGTGCCAGGGGATCTGATTACAGCCTTCTTGCAGGGGGCCTGCTGACCGGCAAGTACAAGGATGGGGACAAGGATGGGTAACAACCTGTGGGCCGTTTCTTTGGGACCAATTGGGCAGAGATCTACAGGAATCGGTGAGCTGGGCATGGGCTGCGTCAGGGTGGGAGGTGGCATGGGTCCCCTTAGTCTGCAATGGGGAGTCCCTGGGGCTGCTTTCTTGGTGGCCAGGACCTCCCCCTGTGTTCAGACCTTTGCCCCTGGATCCCTACCAGCTTTACTGAGAAATTTACCCCTAAAATTTCGCCAGTGTCTCTGGGGAGTGATTGGGGGCCTGGATTGGGAACGCGTAGAGCTCTGGACCTTCCACCAGGTCTGTGAGGCTATGTCTTTTCCCTGGGAAGAGCCTACTCCCTGCCCACAGCGGGAGAAGAAACCTTGGATTGGAACTTGGGATTCCTGGGGCTTGATGCTGGCCTGTCACCTGGGGCAACTGAGTAAGTTTTGTAAACTCTTGGCAATAACACTGTCATCAATGTCTAAAGTTATAGTTGAACATCTGTTGGGACTAGCCTTCTTCCCTTCCTTTTTTTCATTTTTGCAAGTTTGAAAAAGTTATCAAAGTAATACATGGCCACAGCTAGAAGCAAGCCCTTCAAGTCGCACTGCTCCAAGGTGATGCTCTTTAACTCCTACAGTTTTCCTTCCCTCTGGTATTTACTGTGAGATCTCTGATGCACACACTTTCCTGCTATTCCTTAATTTATCAAATTTAGACATTATCTGTGGACTGCTGGAAAGTTCCTAACCTTTCAAGATTTATAGAAGCTGAGTCTCCAATGCTAGTTTTGTTGAAATGGCCCAGGACTTTTTAAAATTAATTAATTTATTTTTGACTGCGGTGGGTCTTCGTTGCTGCACGTGGGCTTTCTCTAGTTGCAGCGAGTGGGGGCTACTCTTTGTTGCGGTGCACAGGCTTATCATTGCGGTGGCTTCTCTTGTTGCAGAGCACTGGCTCTAGGTGCACAGGCTCAGTAGTTGTGGCTCACGGGCTCAGTAGTTGTGGCACGTGGGCTCAGTAGTTGTGGCTCATAGGCTCTAGAGTGCAGGCTCAGTAGTTGTGGCACACGGGCTTAGTTGCTCCTCAGCCTGAGGGATCTTCCTGGACCAGGGATCAAACCCGTGTCCCCTACATTGGCAGGCAGATTCTTAACCACTGCGCCACCAGGGAAGTCCCCTGCCAGGGTTTCTGATTGCCTGGCCAGGTTTAGGAGCCATCGCCCTAAGCAGTGTCTCTCAAGGAGCTCGTCACACCACCAGCGCTTAGGCCTCACCCCTGGAGGATCTTGGTTGATAGTTTTCACCTTCTCTGCTCTACTTAGTTGACAGAGCACTGCAGGTCCATTATCTCCTTTACATTTTGCACTCACCACGTGGGGCTGGCTCAGGGTGTTTCCTCACTGAGCAGGTAAGTGAAGGCAGGTGACTGAGCCAAGGCCAGAGCTGGGACTGGAGCCAGGACTTGTCCTGTCTGTGACCCGGAGCACAAAGCACTCCTGGTTCCCGATTTGGGGAGTTGTATTGTTCGCATCCGGTGAACATGTTCAATGCGAGGATCCTTGCCCACTGCATCCCCGCTGCTCCTACCACTGGGTTGAAATCACCCCGGTGAGGGGCCCAGAAATCCACATGCATTCTGCTGCTCAGGGAAACAAAACCTCCATTTGAGATGTTGGTCCCTCAGTGCCTCAGGGACCAGTGACCTGCAGGAATCCCAGCGTCCTGACCTGTGCCACCCTCTCCACTCACCCAGCTTCTGGAAGCACTACTTTGAGGCTGTTGCCTTGGTGGGGAAGGCCTGCAGGCCACATATGGCCCCAGTGCCCCCAGCATGACCCCGGCCGTCCTCCGGTGGAGAGGTACCACCACTCCCAGCTCCAGGTAGGAAGGAGGAAGTGAAAGAGAGGGCTGTGTGATTATTTCATGATTTCTGGATTACTCCTTTACCTTTTCTGAAATGTCTCCATGGCCCAGGTCTTTTGGGTGGTATTCCTGTTCTTAGAGTTTATTAAGTGTCACATTACAAACAGTACTGGCCCTAGTAAGTATAATTATCCCAACTTTATGTATGAGTAAACTGGCTCAGAGGCCACTTCACCTAACTGTGGGTACATGAGATAGGGCAGAAGCTATGTGTGATGCTGAAACCTACATTTTTTCAGCATTAGCATTTATCTGTCTCTGGCTGCCTGCTCTGCAGAGGCCAACTCTGTGTCCCTGGCAGGGCTGCCCTCTCCCTGCCATCCCGCTTTCCCAACTTCTTCCAACTTGGGCATCACATACTAACGGTGCCTCTTTCTTGAGCCCCTGTTAAGTGCTAGGCCTGAAGCAAACTTTATGAAATTTTAGGGAATTCCCTGGTGGTCCAGTGGTTAGGACTCTGCGTTTCCACTGCAGGGGGCATGGATTCAATCCCTGGTTAGGGAACCAAGATCCAGCATGCTGCAAGGCACGGCCAAAAAAAAAATCCTCCCACAACCACCCTGCAAAGTAAAGGAAGCCTGAAGCTTAGGGAGGTCACATGACTAACCCAAGCCCTCCCAGCTGCCGAGCAGCAGAGGGGAACTTGGGTCTGCCTGCGTGCATCTAGGGAAGCAGGGCTGTAGAGCTGTTCGAAGGCAATGTAAGTTCTGTGCGGAATAATATAGGGTATAGACTTTAGATTGCAGGTCTTGGCAGGGGCAGGGTGGGAGGGGGTGTGTGCGACTGGAGTCACTGTGGCGCGCTAGCGTGTTGACGTCTGGCTGTCTCCCCTTGCAGGGCGTTCAGGGGGACGCAGTCATCCTGGGCATGTCCAGCTTGGAGCAGCTAGAACAGAACTTGGTGGCCGCTGAGGGAGAGCCCCTGGAGCCGGCCGTCATGCAGGCCTTTGATCAGGCCTGGCACCTGTCTGCCCATGTATGTCCGAACTACCTCCACCAGGCCTAGTCCTGACTTGGGGTGGCAGAGGACACACTCCATCTATCACCTCTTTTATTCTCTCAACCAGTCAGTTCTGACTTCAAGCCGCTTTATGTAGCTAGTTCTTTCCTCACAGTCCCAGTTCACAAACTGTCTCCTATGTTCTTGTTAATACTCCCAGTTGCCTTCATCATGTAAAAAGCCCAGGGCCTCAGGCGTTTCCTGTCTGAGTAGAGGCACTAACCTGGCTGGAGCCCAGGCCCACAGTGAATCTGTTTCCTCTGCAGCCTGCAGGCTGTTTCTCGTCCTCCCATAGGCTTGGTGAGAAGGGGGCAGGAGTAGGGATTAGTCTTCAAAGGGCAGAGGCGGTGGGAGGGTCTCCCAGCCTCCTGCCCTGAACCCAGTGTGACCTCTCAACATCGGGGCTGCAGGTGGCCCTCATGCTTCTACACGCGACAGAAAAAAAGAGGGCCACACACCCTGAGGTAGATTTTCTCCTGTTCAGAATTACCTCATTAAATACTTATAAACAGAACAATCTGGGCAAAAACCTACCACCTGGAGCCACCACCCAGAAGACTAAAACCTCCCAGGATGCAGTGGAATGTTTTTTACATTCATTCAGTTTCGGCAGTGGCTTTATGTTTGCTTTAGCCAACACCTCCTGTCTCCTGGTCATCCACAAGTTTCTCAGCCCTGGTTTTGGGGGTTGTGGGTGGGAAAGAGAATAGAGAGTAGGGGTAGGAGGGCGGCAGGCAGGGTGCCTATTTTCCTCAAACAAATCCCAGTTTCAAGCCAGGGGCGCCGAGGCCCAGAGGAAAGGAGAAGGCGGTTCCTCTTGTGCTCCCAGGGCCGCCCGGCCAGTGGTCACACAGGAGCCAGTGCTGGAAACTGGCTTGAGGTGAACTAAGAATCCTGGGGGTCCAAACCAAAGCCCAAACTCAAGGGTTTTTTCCTAGAAAAGTCCCTTTTGGAGGAGACACCCTGCTGACAAAGTTTCATTATTTATAGGATAGCCTGTCCCTGTCACCCTCCCTTGTGTGCATCCACAGCAAAATACACGGCTGCTCCCCCGAGAGGGCTGCGGCAGTCTCACGCCGTCCAGTCCAGACAAGACTGGAGCAGGCCCGGAGGTCCCGTCCCAAGTGCATGTCAGCTGTCGTCGTCTTCCTCTGATTCTACTTCCGACTCGGGCGCGCTCTCTGGCAAGTCATCTCCCATCTGCTGGAACCTTCCGGACTCCGCGTCCCACACGTACTTGATGGTCACCTTGAATTCGGCCATTTCGTACCTGAAAAGCTTCTGCAAGAGGCGAAGGGACCCAAAGGTCAGGAGGAGCGAGTGGGGTCAGAGGAGTCTGCGGCCCCTCCCGCCGCAGCTGCAGACGCCCGGGGCGGAGGGAACTCACCAGGACACGGGCCTGCTCCGGGGTCAGCACATCGCCCTCCTTGCAAACCTCGTAGTCGGACAGCAGGGTCACCACACCTACAGAGAAGGGGGCCCCCAGGCAGTTACTCTGGCACAGAGGCCTGTGCAGGGCCAGAGGAACCGGGCCGGCCCCCTGCCCCCAGGCTTCCAGCAGCACCGGGGCAGGGGTTCATCAGTGAGCATTCAGCCGCCCAGGAGGGTTTTTGGGGGGCAGTGACTCCTCCTTCCTTCCTTGCCCTGTAACTGCTGTATTCTAGCTGTAACTTACTGTCCACATTCACCCCAGCTGTCAGGCGGGCGCTGTTAGTCCTGTTTTCACATGAGAAAATGGAGGCCGGTAGAAATTGGGGGTGAGGGGGGAGTTGTCTGGCTTGGAAACCTGTGCTCTCGGCCGCTCGGCTGTGACCTTTCAGCTCTGGGGACGCCCCTGTACCTTTCTTAAGGGCCGTGGGCAGGCCCAGCTGCCTCAGCTGTGGCTCCATGGAGTGCGGGAACTGCTCCAGGGGCCCCGGGTCCAGGCTCACGGTGAAAGTGGCTTTGTTCCCAGCTCGGGCGTAGTCCATCTCCGTGTATTTCGTGAACCACCTGAGAGGAAAGAGAAGTGGCAGGAGGGCAGGTTTCTGCCTGGGCCTCGTCTCACCGCCCTTCCTCCTCGGTTCAGCCTGGAGCTCCGAGCCTGGGAGAACAGAGACTCCGTAACGGGATTCCAGGAACCAGGAACCAGGTTTTACTCGGTGCCTCTACTGTACAAAGTCCTGGGCTATTCCCTCCCCGGAGACCTCGCCAACCTTTCCCTTCCCACCGCTCCTCCAGGGCACTTACTCGTTCACTTCCTCCTTAGTGCGATTGGTGAAAAGGAGACCAACTTCACCCCTCAACTTCTTGCTGACCTACAGAACCAAAGTGGGGTGGGGTCGGTCACATTAGAGCAGCGGTTCTCAACTGGGGACCATTTTGCCGGCCCCGCCCCCTCATCTGGCAACACGTGGAGACATTTTTGGTCACAGCTGGAGGGGGGCAGCACTACTCTCTGGGTCTGGAGGTTAAAGGAGAACCGAGCTTTAAGTCCACCCCGGGCCGCCAGATGGCTGCAGTGCGCATCATGTGACAGCAGCGGAGAAGGCAGCCTGGCCTCGGCCCCTCCCTGTGAGGGCCAGAGACTCACCTGATGCAGATTGTCTTTGTACTCGTCAGATGGGCTTCGACCCAGGGCCACCATCATCACTTTGTTTTTGCCAAAGAACATCCTACAGAGAAAAAGAGGGGTCTGTGAATGAAGCGCCCCGCCCTGCCCTCACTTCAGTGCAAACCAGCTTCAGTCCCCGGAGCCCGAGCCAAGGCCCAGGCTGTTTTGTAGCAGAAGGTGTGGCCAGAGACTCCACTCTTCCACGCAGCCCTGCTCACTTTGTCGCCAGCCCAGGGTCCCTCTCATCATTTTCCTGCACAGACCCTGAAACTCACATTCTGTCTCAGCCCACTGTGAGTGCGTCTGGATATGTGGAAGGGGCCTGTTTAATGGTCTGAACCAGAACGGGTGCGATGTTCCTTAAGGGACCAGACCCCAGGGTTCAGGGAGCCCCTTCTCCTGGAGAGGTCACTGCTCAACCCGCCCCCCACCCCCACAAGGCGAGACAAACTTTAACAGTTAAAAAGCACCCTTCAGGGCTTCCCTGGTGGCGCAGTGGTTGAGAGTCCGCCTGCCGATGCAGGAGACGCGGGTTCATGCCCCGGTCTGGGAAGATCCCACATGCCGTGGAGCGGCTGGGCCCGTGAGCCATGGCTGCTGAGCCTGTGCTCCGCAATGGGAGAGGCCACAACAGTGAGAGGCCCGCGTACAGCAAAAAAAAAAAAAAAAAAGCGCCCTTCAGTGGGGATGGGGGCGTGGCACTTTGTCCTTATTAAGGTGCCTCCTGTGACCGAGGTCACTAACCGCCCCTGTGCTTTGCAAGCAGCCTGGCCCCTCCGCACTCAGGCCCTTCTCCCACTGCCCGCTCACCGGCTGTGCTTCCAGGCACTGCGCACGTCCTTCAGTTTGCTGTTCCTCATGTTGGCCACAGAGAAGACGAAGAGGTACTTGTATGTGTCCACACATTTCCGAAGCTGCAGGACAATTCATGGGGCTCTGGAGTCCAAGGGGCAGCAGGGGTTGGGCAGTACTCTGGCCTCAGGTGGGAAAGAGACTGTTCCAGGTCTCTTACAACTGAGGATGTTTAGAGCCTCTAACCTGGTTGTTTCCTCCTTGCCTCTGCTACTGAAGCCAGGATACTAAGTACAGGGGCTGCCCTGACGCAAAGCAGGCCTGATGGCAAAGTGCGGGGGAAGGTGAGCCACGGGTCAAGAGCCCACCGTCTCCCCAGGTTTCCGACTTACGGTGGCCACCGCTGCAACTGACCACTTCTCTTTGGCCAGTAATTGCTGACGATCTAGAAACCTAGCTACACTAGGAAGTCTCCTGCTATATGGAAACGTGTAAAGTCTTGTCATTTAGTCACCAGGGAAGGCGGCTCATCAGCCCTGCGGCGCCCACGTTGTTGGCGGCAGCCACGATGAAGTGGTCTCAAGGAAAATGGCATCTTCGTGCTGGAGGAAACTCCCCTGTCACCCAGCCTGCAGCCTGATGCAGTGCAGACAGTGGCTTGGTGCATCTACCCACACCTGGTAACTCCCTGGCTCTTTTTACATCGGGCAGACTAACAAATCTCTGCAAGCTTCAGTTACCAGACCGCAAAACAGCGATAACTTCCCCTCGCATCTACCTCGCGGGGGTGCTTCACATGTGAAACAGCGCCGTGCAGGGCAGAGTAAGGGCTCAATCAAGCTGGAAACCATCACTATGGGAGTTTTTATTGGTGCTGCTGCTGGAGGAGAAAGGGCTGGATCAGCACCTTTTTTTTTTTCTTCCCCCCAAACAGTATGTTTCCCTGACAAACAGCCCTACACCCACGTTTATAAACCAAATACAAGGTCTGGAAAAATAAAAAGAACACGCTCTTACCTCTTCTATCAAGTTCTGTTTCAGTTCTAAGCCTTTCTTAGCGGTTTTGGTGAGGGAGACTAATACAAAGAAGAAAAGGGAGAGATGATGAGAGGCAAATCTGGATGTCCCGGAGACTCTTTCTTCCCCGCTTTCGTAGCCCAGCTGGACCAAGCCAATCTGAGAAAAGGTAGTAAGGCTTTTGTGGACACCACTTCTGGCATGCAAGGCTACTCCCAGGGTCCCCAGAGTGCCTGCTCGCTACTGTTCCCGAGCCTGAAGGTCCCTTCCCATCTTTCCTGTTACTCAGACAAACTAGGTATTCCTTAGCTCCCCTGAGGTGAAGCGAAAACTCCCTACTGAGGTGTGGAGGCTCTGGGGGCCCTGCCAGTGGCTGAGCTAGCTGCTGGCTGAGGCGCGTCCCTGTGCTGCTGTGGTACACAGAGACCGTCTGTGGCTGCTCTGGGCTGGGGACTGTATCTCCCCTGCTACACCCTGTCTTGCAGTTTGGACCCATGGATGCAGCAACGCGTCTTTGGGGAAGGACAAGCACCTCTTCTCCAACAACAGCTGGGGCCCAATCTGCCCCTTAACCAGAAGGGTTTGACATTTGTCAGATCTGACCAGGGCTCCCTCCACAGAACCCAATCATTCCACAAACGCTTAACAGAGCATCAAACGCAAAGCCCTGGCTCCTGGGAGGAGGCCGCTTCTTATTCATCCTGCCTGGCACTCAGTCGGTCCCTCTTCACGAAGCACACATCTAGAAAGGTAATCACGCCATTCAGGGGCGAGTGCAGCATAGGAGGGCAAACAAAACACAGTTGTCCATTTTCCAACACTTCCACTGCTACAACTGTGGACCTAGCCAGCACCATGCTCTCTTGGATTACTGCTAGTCTCGCTGCTTCCACCCCTGCACACTGCCCCCACCTTCCCTGTCTATTCTCAACAAAGCAGTTAAGGTGATCTTTTTAAAAGTAAAGCTGAACCCCATCATTCCTCTGCTCGAGCTCTCTCCTCCCGTTTCACCTGCGTGTGAAAGCCAGTTCCTTGCAAAGGTCTTTCAAGCCCCGCACACTCTGCCCAATTCCCTCTCCCTCCTTTTTGCTCACTCTGCCCTGGCCACGATGGCCTCTTGCCCCAGAACATGTCAAACATGCTCCCGCTTCAGGGCCTTTGCCCTTCGTGTTCCCTCTCCTGGGACCACCACCCTTCCAGGTAACTCCATGGGTTGCTTATTTACTTTCTTCAAGTTCCTGCTCATTTGTCATCTCAACAGAGACCTTCCCTGGCCACACTGCACAAAAGAACATCAACTTCTCTTTCTCTCTTACTCCACGAAACTTACCACTATCTGAATTTACTGATTCGATTTTCGGTACCTTGGGAGGATATACTTCCCATAACTAAAATATTAAGCTTGATGAGGGCTCTAGGCCTTCCTTGTTGTAACTGCTGTATCCTTCGACGCCTAGAGAGTGCCAGGTCCCTCTCTAATTTGTTGAGTGAATGTGCTAGAGAGCCGGAGTGAGAGAGACTCACCATAGTAGAGGCAGTCAGGAATACTCTCTTAGGAGATATCCTACGAACTGCCAACTGAGAAAGAGCCAGCCATACAAAGACCGGGGCACAAGCATGCCAGACAGAAGCAACTTCAAGTACATACTTCGGGATAAACCTGGGTTGAGGGGAAGGCCGCAAGGTGGGGGGAGCGCGGAGAGCTAAGACAGATGGGCTGAGGTAGGAAAAGGTGGGCCAAGGCGAGATCGGGTGCGGCCTGGGTGTTCAGAGGCTGTTCCCCGACCAGCCGGCCTTGGACAAACTCTGGAGGCCTGGCAAAGCAGTCTCCGCTCCCTGACCAGACCCGGCTCCAGCCCCCACCCCCGTGCTTCCCCCGGGAAGCCCCTACCGCAGGTGACAGCCAGCCCGCGAATTCCTCACCGGGTCCCAAGACCCCCTTTGCCCACCTTTCTTGTCGCGCTTGGATTTGGGCATCTCGCTGCAGCCACGTGCGGCGGAAGACGGTGCTGCCTATTAGGACCTCGGCGGCGCTGGGACCTCTGGGACAGCCCTCGGGGGCTGCCCTTGCGCGTGCCTGACCCAATCTGCGCTGAGGCCCGCCTCTCCCTGCCCCGCCGCCGCCTGCGCTCTCCCTCGAGTCTCCAGAGCGACTTCCTGCTTGGGCGGGGGATCCCAGAGTCCTGGGCGCCCCACCGAGAGCTCCGCGTGCGGTTCCCAACTCTATGGTTCTGCGGAGGCGGAGCCTGAGGCCCGGTGCATGCCGGGCCGGCGGCGGGCCGAGCCCGGGCTCCCATCATGGCGGCGGCGGCGGCGGTGCCTTCCGGAATTTGGATCTGGGCTGCCCTGCTCATCCCTGCGGCCGCGGTTTACGAAGACCAAGTGGGCAAGTTTGATTGGTGCGTACGTGGGGAACCTATTCGGGAAATATTTTCCCAGTACTTGTCTTCTGTCTAAAAGGATGGGGGGTGGTTACCATGCAGCACGGCCGGCTGCATAACGTGCGGGGCCCAGGGGAAAATGAAATGTGAGACCCCTTGTTCAAAAGTTAAGAGTTTTAAGGTGGCGACGGCAGAGCATTAAACCGAGAGTTGGAGGCCCTTCTGAGCCACTCCCTGTGCGGCTCTACAGGTCGCAAGCCCGTGAAGCGGGCTCTGCCAATCCGGGCATGCCTGAGGTTCTGGTCAGAGGTCACTCTTCTCCTCCTCCATCAGGCCCCATTTCTGTGACTGTCAGGTTTCTTATCTACTGGGTGTCAGACGTCGACAGCCCTCAGTGAACGCCGTCTTTCCCCACCTCTCTAGCCCAACCCTTGCATGGGCTCAGAACAGGACCACCCAAGACTCACATCAGCCTTGAGGTGCCCTCACTCACTGGCTCACGCATTCACTCTTCTTTCATTCACTCACTTACTCTTCATTCAGTCTCTCATTCAATCACTCATTCACACATTCAGTCGCTTATTCAGTCATTCATTCATTCACTCACCCACCCCTTCCTTAAGGCCATGGAGTTGGCTCACTTTTGCTTGAATGTCAGTTTGCCACTTAAGCATTGTGCGGTCTTGGGAAAATGACTTAACCACTCTGTGCCTTGTTTTCTTTATCTGTAAAATGGGTTTACTAGTAGTCCATTACCTCTTTCAGTAGTTGTAAGGATGAATAAGACAATTCTTTTAAATTACTCAACACAGTGCCTGGCTCACTGAGTACAATCAGTTTGTTACCAATAATTACTATTGAGGGAACACTTTATCCTTCCGAGCCCAGCTCCTCGCTGAAGTCTTTTCTGTATCAGACAGATTAATTCGCATGTTTGTTGAGTGCCTGTTGTGGGTCAACAATCATTCTAGGTGCTGTGGACACAGAGATGGAAAGGAGCTCCGTCTAGGGGGGCAGATATATAAGTTATGTGATATAAGACAGTGTGACAAATGCAACATGAGTCACATTTTTAATGATGTGGGCAGATGCTCACAATATAATATGTACAGCTGACTCTTGAACAACGCAGGGGCTGAGGGTGCTGACCTTCCCTGTGGTCAAAAATTGCGCATAACCTATGGTAAGCCCTCTGTATCTGCAGTTCCACATCTGCAGATTCAACCAACTGCAGACCGTGTAGTTCTGTAGTATTTACTGTAGCAAACAACCAGTGTATAAGTGGACTTGCGCAGTTCAAACCTGTGTTATACAAGGGTTAACTGTATATATTACATATGTACAGCATGTGATTCCAATTTAGCAGAATCCTAGGTATATGCAATTTATAAATTGAAAAGTAAACAGAAGGAAGCACACCAAAATGTTGAAAAGTTTATGGTTGAAGAAAAAAAGTTCATGGATGGTGGTATTTTAGGCATTTTTTGTTTTCTTTTTTATACCTTTATGTTTTCTACAAGAAGCAGGCATTACTTTTATAGTCCAGATAAAAGATAACAGCATTTTTTTAAAAAGCATGGGATTTAGACTAAGAAGTTCTTAATTTTGCATTCTAGTTCTGATAGTAATTTGTTGACCTCAACGGACTTTGGTTTACTCACCTGTAAAATGAGAGTGATAATATTTGTCCTATGTACTTCCTAAAGTGTTTAGTGACGACAGTGAGATTAAAGTATGTGGAAATACAGATAGAAACTGTCAATTGTCATGTAAACCTGTTTCTCTATACTAGTGTAGTTTCTTCTTTTTTAAAAAAAATTAGACCAAACAACATAACAAGGGAAATTCAGTGTAAATGTCAGGTGTTTAATTTGCTAGAGGTTGTAATTCATGAACAGCAATATGCAACACACCTCCTCTGTACTTGGTAGTATGCCTCAGGAAGCTAAGTACTTTCACTTTATGCTTAGATAAGAGTGTTGAAAGTGATGGGGTATATTCCAAGGAAAGTATGAGTAATGAGTCAGATGGATCCTGAACATAGCGTGGGCTAGAGCAGGCTGCAGAGAACAAAGGGCCTGACCCTGATCTATCAAGTTTTGTAAGAATATTTGCATAATTTTTCTCCAAAGGTCAATGAAAATAGAAGGAAAAGTTGGATTGTATGCTCTTCTCTCATGTGTAATGTGAGTGTCTAGTCTCACTATTAATGGGTACAGAGAGGACTGTAGTTTTGTTCGAGGGGGATTTAGGCCAGGTGCTCTTTTGGGTGTTCCTTATCTTGAGATAAACAAGTGCTTGTATTTAGAAGGAAGACTGTTGTATTTCTCATCGATTAGGGTGCATTCTCTCTTCTTCTTCCCATTGCCTGGAAATCTTGGTTTTGGTCAGATCTCTTCGTTAACAAACATTTCTCATGCAACCTGAGATAGTTATGATGGTGATACCCTCATGTATTTGTGCAGTTGTCTTTTTCCAGAGCGTTCTGTGCAGTGATGGTTTGGGCCCCTTCCTGTACTCTTTCCTTTAGGAGACAGCAGTATGTCGGGAAACTCAAGTTTGCCTCCTTGGAATTTTCCCCTGGATCCAAGAAGTTGGTTGTGGCCACAGAGAAGAATGTGATTGCAGCATTGAATTCTCGAACTGGGGAGATCTGTGAGTGAACTGTGTAGAGGGCTAGCTGGGGGTGGCATGGCTGCCTGTAGTGGATCCAGGATGCCCTGTGGCTTGTGAAGGCCACGTGGCTGATTCCCCACTTGGGGACAGGTTGGCCAAAGGTTGCATCTCTTATTGGATCCTGATCATTTTATTTTGTTCTTTTTGTTTTTTTGGTCTTGTCAGTTTTGAATATTTAATGTATTCCTATAACTGGCCTTTGAGTTTATTTCCTCAGCCCAAGTCCTGACTGTTCTTAAATAAGATACTGCTGCAAAAAACACATTATTCTGTTTCGCACTAAAGTTTTGGATGGGCCCCTCCCTCCCCCATTACTTATATTGCTTTTATGGATGTTTGTTGAAATTAAAATCATGGAAACGTAATTTACAGTCACTACTTTTCTTGTGAGTCGTATGGATTTTGTGAATTTTGTCATTGTCCGTTTATATGTTTGATGGGGTGCTGGTGGGGAGGGGAAGTGCGGAGACCTCAGATTGGGACAATAGTCGCTCCCCTCATTAACCAGTGAGTGGGAGTGGGTCATTGCCAGTTAGCTGTAATCCTTCCCTCCCTTGAAGTAAAATTGGGCACTTCTGTGCAAACGAAGGCGTCTTCGGTCCTCTCTTGCCTCGCTTCTTGGATGCCTTGCTGTGGTTCATAGTAATGTCGACTCTCCTGTCTCTCAGTGTGGCGCCATGTTGACAAGGGCACAGCGGAAGGGGCAGTGGATGCCATGCTGCTCTGTGGACAGGGTAGGTAGAATCCTGCTCTGTCCCTATGATGGCGTCGGCTCCCTCTTGTCTTTGCTTGGTTCCTTCCTTTGTTCAGGGTCTGGTAGCAAATGGAGTAGGGGTGTTCCCAACAAGAAAGGACAGGCATAGTTTCTATCTGCACTTATACATTAGAGGTGAGGCCACTGCTCACAGACCCTAGGAGGCTACAGACAGAGCATCAATTTGGGAGATGATCTCACGTGGTTTTTTCTCTTCCAGATGCAATCACTGTGTCCAACGGAGGCCGGATCATGCGCTCCTGGGAGACTAACATCGGGGGCCTGAACTGGGAGATTACCTTAGACAGTGGCAGGTAGAGGGGAAGAAGCTGAATTTCATCTTGGTTTGGTTAAAGGCTTTGCTGGAACACAGATCTGCATAGATGGCAACTCTGGGCCTTCTGGCTTTTTTCCCAGGGGAAGAAACTACTGAAGAGCCAGAGAGCATCAAACACCCAGTTTTTGATGTTCTTGAGGTTATGGGACACATGTGCTTACTCAGCCAGCATTTATTGAGCACCTGTCAGATGCACAGCTCTGTGCTGGGTGTAGCGTTCTTTCTCGTGTTGACTGCTTTTCCTAACCTTACCATGACACAAGAGCTTTGCAATGTTGTAGATATAAGGATGTGATATAACACATCTAGTGTTTTAATTTTATGTTGAAGAACAGTTGGAGCTACTGTTACGTCTTTGCTAAAGTTGTTTAAATTATAGAGTTTACTTGCATTAGCTTATACATCTTCTGGTAGTAATTCATTTGGTAAGTACTTGGGGAGCCCCCAGGCTCCCCAGGCCCCCAGGGTTTCAGGGAAACAGTACAGCCAAGTGGCTGAAAGTACAGTCTCGCAAGTCAGCTAGTGGAAAGCAGAGCCAAGATTAGGATCCAGATGCATTTGACCCCAAAACCTGTTTCATTACCTACCGAGCTATGGTGGTTGTGTTCCGGATTGTCCAGCCTGAGGCCCAGGAGGCTCTGGGCAGCGCTCACCCGGTCCCTGTGCTCAGTTTCCAGGCGCTTGGGCTGGTAGGCCTGCAGGAGTCTGTGAGGTACATTGCCGTCCTGAAGAAGACCACTCTCGCCCTCCATCACCTATCCAGTGGGCACCTAAAGTGGGTGGAACATCTCCCGGAAAGGTAAAGCTGCCTTCCCCCCAGGTGACGGCTACCTCCTGCTCTCTACAAGCCCACCTTTCTCCTTGGGGCTTGAAGCGTTTGCTTTGACTCAGGCTTACCTTAAGTTGGCATCCTGTGTAGCGTGTCGGGCTCACTAGCTCTAGGCCTGAATTCCAAGGCTGTGGCTGCCTCTGGAGTTTCCTTTGCAGTGAGGAGAAAACTCTCCATCTGGGCATGAGAGCCAGTCAAGCAAGGGGAGTGGCTCCTTCGCTCACTCACTTTGGCAGG